TATATATATAGTATGTTTTAGCAAAAACTTAAAATGTGATGTATCTATAGAAATATCTTCTTATACTAAAAAATATAATGACAAAAAGTGGGTGATAATGTAATTGCCTGCAGTTGTATGTCTGTTGGTAAAATATTCCATGACCCACTGAATGGACTGCAATGAAATTGTGAGAAAGAAAATTACTGAATATACATCTACAACGGATTCCCCTTTCGAAGTTAACCTGATTCAAGATGGCTGTCACAGCTAATCAACCTTGCAAATGCAAAAATGTCTATGATTCAATTCATTTTACAGATAATGAGTTAAATTTTAATGTGTTACCAGCTGCATATCATTCACTGATTACTAAAAGGTTTCACTTTGACATGCATGGCAGCAGGTAATGTGCGAGCCTGAAAAGAATGAATGTTCATTTGCACTGAAAACACAAAGATAAATAAAAAGGAAATTAGCAAATAATGTTTGTCTTTTAAAAAAATATCTAAACACTGCACACATGTTTTTTTTAAAATGCTGCTTTGAAAACCAGAAATCCCAGTTGGTTTAGAGGGATCAGAAATATGCTTTTCTGTCAAAACAAAATGCTCTGTCATTTCATCAGTATTTTTCTTTTTCATGGACTTTTTATTTTTATGAATAAAAAAATAAAGAGTAAAGAATAATTATCAAATCTTCATTAACACTTTTTAAAATTCCCTTTGAAATGTTCTAATTAAACATGATTTTTTTTTAGAGTCGAGGCTATATTGCACTTACAAAACAATATCAGTAAAAGACTGACATTATTTTTGATGAAGAGAGTTTTGCGCTTGTGTTTCATTTCTGTAAACGAGGTCATTGACTTTTTTTTCAACCCTCATCTTGTCCATTTCTTGGCGCAATCTCAGACTCATTCAATGGGACAAACTGCACCCATCAAAGAGGTCTCATTCTTTCATCCAATTGCCTTTTTTTCCCTTTTCCTACAGAAACCCCAGGGCAGCACTTTCATTGTTTTCAGTGTCTTTTCATCTTTAGAGATAACACACAAAAGCGAACAACTGATTTAGTTACTGTTTATTTCCCAGGAGGGCACAGATGGGTGCACAATGCCTGTTTATTTTAACCAAAACGTACAAGCAGTGAACAAGCAGGTTTTAATCTCCTAACTCGTTACCCTCTACATAGCTTATCTCTTTATGGAAATTATATATATATATATATATATGAAACTGCAACATTAATAAAAAATGTTGATTCTTTTTGATGAGGAAACTCCACACAAAATGCAAAATGTAAAAAGTTTAAAAGAGTGGACAGATGTTTGGGCTTGAACTGCTCTCACGCTTTTCTACCAGTAATTCAGATGTCACACTAAGTGCATTCTTAAAATGACTGAAATATTTCTATTCCCTCTCAGCAGCAGAAAGAAAGCTAAGAGCCACAACCAAAACAGTGTGGTCGTTTAAGTTAAAGGTTTACTTTATAACGACAAACTTCATAATGACCGCATTTTTTCCAGAGTTGCTCTTCTATTTTTCATTCTGTCCTTTCTAACCAACCTAATTATTTTCAATAGGCATAAAATGTCAGCGGTCCTTTGAGTGAGGAGTAGCGAGGAAATTTTATTGTTGTAAGATGTGGCGATATAAAAAAATAAATAAATTAAAGATATAGAAAAAATATAGTTTTCACTACAATAATTATTATGGGTGGATAATTGGCTGTGGAATGGTTTTGTGATTGACAACAGCAAGCTAGTGTAGTTAGGAATGAACCCTGTGACCCACACAGATGCTATGCATTAGCACGCTGGTGTCAATAACCAGGCAGCTGACCTATAACCCTGTTAAAAGTTGGTTGGTTTCAACAGATTCTTTTATGCCAATTTGACAAATCAGATTTACAGATTCAAAAATTTACTTCAAGCAGTTTAATTAGTCAATTGATGTCAACATTATGGAAATGAACGGTTTACACCACTTTATAAATATATATTTTGCAAGTTTAAATAATTACCTGGTGAACTTTAGTTGTTAAATTCAAGCAAACATCTAGAACCCAGAAAGAAAAAAAAACTGTTAAAGAAAATAGCTGGATGGATGGGATTTTTCAAAGGGAAGGCTGATTACTGAAATGAGGAACAGGTGAGCTTAACGAGCCGATGATGCACAGCTGTGAGACCAGGCTAACTGAGGGCAACAACGAGCAGTGACAGAGAGAAAACTAACAGAAAACAAACTAAGCACAAGGAATTTTGCAATAAAAGCAAGAAAAGTGCATGGCTAAAAACTAATTGTTACAAAATGTCATGAACTCAACCTGCAAACACACAATTTCCAATACTCTAGGATTATGATATGGGCGTAATGTTATTTTCGAGGTTTGACTAAAACAATGTTAACTGTCATTTCCCAACATTAAACAAGCCAAATGTAA